TCAAGCCAAAAGCAGGAGAAGACTCTCTCGGGGAAGTCACGCTCCCCGGCATGGCAGCCTTGCTCAGGAGAAAATCCCAACCCGAAGTGGCCTTGTGGACCTGGTGCTTTTGCTCGGCTCACCCTGAGGAAGCGGATGAAAGCGTCAAACTGCTCCTCCAAAGGGGCTCCTTCAGCGGGCAGGGGCAGCCGGTGGTACCTGCCAGGCACAGGGATGGCCCTCGTTAGGGGGACGGGGCTTCCGTCCCCACCACGGTAGAGGACACGTGGTTTTAGAGGGTATCAAGAGGAAGAGCAGCCCAGCTCGCGAAAGCAAAGCCACCGACCACATGTGCGGAGGAGGAGGAGGAGGAAGAGGAGGAGGAGGAGGAGGAAGGGCAGCACCTGTAGGAGGGCAGGAGGAAGATGGGTCTGCGGTAGACCTCCTCCGTCACCTGGATGTCCTCCTCGCTCCGCACCTGCACGGCGTGGGGCTCGTCCCGCAAGCGCTCAAGGTCATCGTAGACGTAGTAGACGCCCTCGCTCAGCTGCGCGAAGTCATGGATCTAGCGGAGATGGGGACCACCATCGGAAACCTGCCGCCTCCCACAACCCCTCTGCTCATCCCGGAGGCGGGGGGATGACAGACCTCCCCACACCTCTCCGGTCCCACCTCACCTCTTTGCGGATGGCCAGCTCCAAGTTCTCCGTCCACGGCCCCCGTTGCAGGCACTGGAGGTTCTCATGAAGGTTCTCCTTGCCCCGAGGGGTGTAAGACACAAAGTCCCCTTCCAACCTCAGGAAGACCACGGGCTCCTCACGGACGCAGAAGAAGACGCACTCCTGCGAAGGAAGCGGGGAGAAGCTGTCCGAAAGCTCTCCCGTCTTTTTCCCACCCCGATTTCCACCTTCCCACCAACCTTGTGGCCTTCTCTCTGCAGCTTCTGCAGGACGAGCTTGAAGCCATTGAGGCTGGGCTGCCCCATGCCGAACACGGCGTAACCTCCTTTGGCTTGGCGGAAATTGGGAGCGCCGCAGCTGCTGGTAGTGTTCAAGACATCTAATTTGCCATAAACATCCCTGACCATGAAATATTTCCCCTGCAAAACACGACGAGAAGAGAGAAGACGAGGAATACGTGGATTCGAGCAAGTAGACTTGAAGGCAGCCGGGAAGAAAAGTGGCTTTTTCTTAGCGATCTTCAAAATTAGCCTCCCAAAAAAACCCAGCGGCAGCGGCGGCAACGCTCACCTGCACGAGGTAGTGTTCCAGCGCGGCCTCGGAAATGCGTCCCACCGTGTAGTTGGCCTTCAGCAGGTCATCGTGGATCTGAAACTCCTCCCTGCAGTTGTACCTGCCAAAGCCACGTGCGTAAATGGAAAAAAAAAAAAAAAAAAGGAAGATTAGGGGGGAAAAGAACAAAAAGGAATATTTAGAGAAGACGGCGCAGAAGAACAGAGCTCCGGAGACGGCGGCGAGTGGCATCACGAGGACTTACGTGATGACCACGGGCGCCACTTTGTTGGTGATGATGGACTTGGCTTTGCTGTTGTGGAGCCCCAAGGTCTGGAAGGAGTGGATGCTGAGGGAGCGCTGGTCCTCCATGCTGCCGTCGCCCGGCGCCCCGCTCTCCAGGGAAAAAACCGCGCCCCCTGCCGGCCCCGCGGGGGCGGTCGTACCCATAATCCGTGGGCGGCTGCGCCGCGATCACAGAGAAAACAAGGAGAGAGGGAAGTTGGGGGAGAAGGAAAGTTATTTTGGGTTGGGTTTTTTTGAGGGGTTGTTTTGTTGTTTTTTTTTCAGATGCTCCCGTTTTAGGAAGGGAAAATCCTGGGCGGGCACAGGGCACCCCCTGCTCCACCGAAAGCCGGCAAGAAGAGGTCCGTTTGGGAAGAAACGCTAACCCAGCCCTTCCCTC